AGACACTATACTTTCTAGTATGTATAAATATCTCCATAGCTTGTTATTCTAAACTTGATTTGTATTCTCAGAGTTAAACTGAAATAGGTTTTAAAAAATATATAATTATGAACAAGCTTATCATAGAATTCTAAAACTGAAAAACTAACCTAGGAGCTTAAAGCTTTGTTCAAAGATTTGACACAATAATTATAAGGTAAATAATAATAACATTAAAAGCTTGGTCGTCCCTGTATTTCAGGCCAGCAATCAAGCATTGTTTCAGGCAAACATTAAATAATTACAACTACAAGGTAAAGCACTTTCTATTCATGAAATACCCTAATTTTCAAAAACAACTCAGTAATTCCTGAGATAAATGGAGACATACAGACAAGGCTTGTAATATCTACTTCAATAGATATTAAATACAAGTGTAAAAAGACAGTTTCAACTATTATCAATGTTGTTATTGATTGAGGCTTTATCAGGTTTTGATATTTGAGAGTTACAGATGACTAATAGCTGACTCGGAATACCTACATATTTATTTTCCTGAAACATTTCTTCTAGGCATCGGTTTTCAGTGACTAATTATGCTTATTACTTGATATAGCTACTGAAAAGCTTAATAGAGCTTTATAAAGCTTTCTAGTTGTAGCAGATGTACTTTTCACATAATTTATTAAGAATTTATAGTATAGTTTGCATGATATTATTGAATGATAACTTAAACCTACACTATGTGAAATAAATCCTACCCAGTATTATCCTATAAAGTGCAAGTAATATGTGTTAGTGCTCACCTCGCGCCGCTCAATGGTGTAGTAGGCGTCATCTTCCGCGGCAGCCTCGCCCACCTCCGGCGTCGGCTTCCCGGACCGGTACTTGCTCTTCTGGAAGGTCATCTTCAGGGAACTCCTGTGCTTCTTCTTGTCTCCCGCTCCTCTATTCAACTTTATCACAGTTTTCAAAGTACCAGTGTAGTCTCCCTGAGTCTTCGCTGCCTTACTCTTGTTAGACATCATGCCACCATAGTTAGACCCATATATCCTCTCCTTTTCTCTTAACTTTTCAATCTTTGCCTCCTTGGCAGCCTTGTGGGTAAGTAAGCCAAGAGTTCTGAGCACATTTTCCTTGCGCTTTTGACTCTCAGGTGTTTCATTCAAGGCATTGCTTGGCCCTGGCTGGCACTCAGTCGAGTTGCGCGTTGATTTACTCGGTTTCGGACTCTTAGCTGGCTTCACTTCCTGCTCCACTGGCTTAGCGTCAGTAACTGTTTCAGTCTTATTGTCCACAGGTGTGTCTTTAGTCTCAACCGGTTTTTCTGCAGGAGTTTCTTCAACTGCCATTGGTTCTGGTTCAGGCGGAGTAGGAGCTGCGGGGACTGTCTCTGCTGGAGTGTCAGTCTTAACAATAGTAGTCTCAACCTTCGGTTCCTCTTCCTTCGGTGTTTCAGGAACAATAGTTGCCTCTTCCACCTTAGGTACCTCTGATGCAGAAATATCCTCGATAGTCTTCATGGATTCTATCGGTGGGGGCAATGCTTCAGTCTCCACAGGTGCGGCTTCAGGGGACTTGATGGCAACTGGCGCCGGCGTGATGGACACGGCGGGTGATACACTATGATGTGAAGGAGACTTGATTTTCTCAATCGTCGCCATCTTCTCTTCCGTGTCCACTGTAGATTCTGATGATTTGCGCGACATCGACTCCCGCGATTTCCTCTTGCTAATAATTTGAACGTCATTGGTAATTTTAGACTCTGAAATACGAGGTGTTATAGATATCTGGCTGGAATCTAAGACGACGCCCGCCAGACTCTGGGTCGGGTTGTTAGGGTGCAGCGTCGCGAACTGATGTAGGTCTATCGGAGTGCCAGTCTGCGGCGCCGATTTCTCTACAGATTTTTTAATCTCTGTTAAAGTGACATCCTTGCCGAGTGACTTCTCAAATATGCTGATGGCATCGGCTTCTCGTGAATGATTAGAACTTGTAGACTCCTTCCTCGAGCTGAAACTGTTCCTTTTAATGAGAGTGACTGAGTTAGGTAAATCAACATCAGTGGATTTTCTTACTTGATCTCGCTTGACTATTGAAATAGCAGAGTTGTTCTCGAAACAACTCAAAACGTTCTCCTTTTCTATTGGTTTTTCAGGAGAGCGAACAGATTGTATGTCTTTCAGTGGTTTTATGTCACCAGACTTTGGTATAAGTACCACATCATTTGTCACCATCATTGGTTTACCACCATCTGTGGCCTTCGACTCCATTTGTCTTCTCTTATCGAACTCTTCGAATTCTTTTAGTCTATCCATGAGCTTGTCGATGCTGGCGACTGTATTACACTTGTAAGGTATTTCGTGCTTGGCGCCATCTACAGGTTTCTCAACAGAATCTTCCTCATAGTGTAGTCTTATGTTTTCACCATCATCGTTCTTGGACGGCGTGTTCTCGTTACTGATAGGAGATATATCTTTGTCTTTTACGGGTGTCTCTGGAGTGGGCACGTTGTCTCCATTGTTTAAAGGTTTGGCTAGGCCATAGAACTTGGAAGCAGGCTTGGTCTGCAATTGGTCAGGAGTAGAGGTTGCATTGCTGTCCGCCAACATCTCCATGTCACCATCGATGTTTTGGTCTAAGTCGTTGATGAGATCGTTAATCTCCTTGGTCAGCGTGTCGATGGTCTCGACCTTGTCCTCGGCAGGGTCGTTCGTGATAGTGCTGGGGATGCAGTTCTTGGCTGCGGCGGTGACGGAGGTGACGGCGGTGGCAACGGTTGCGGTGGTGGCTGACGCAGGCGGGGGCGCAGACCGCGACGCCTGCATTACTTTGCGTCCTCTGCGCGCCTTCCTTATGTTCTTCACCATCTCCTTAGAGTTGAATGTCTTAGACATACTAGTTAATATACTACTACGAGCATCGAAAAGCGTATTATCAGTCTTCATTAACATTTTTTCTTCTATTTCATTTGAATTTAAATCGTCTATGTTTATCCTATTACTATTATTGTTGTCAGAGTCTAATGAAGTACTTCTGTTTAAGCTCAGTTTCTTTTCTTTTGCGTTTATGCTAGGCTCCAGGAGGTCCTGTTTGGTTTCAGCTAATTTGGAGTCAACAATAAGAGAAGGCACTTTTTCAATAGTCGAGATCTGTACATTATTTTCAATATCTACATCTAGGTCAGTCTTAGATTTATCTAGTTTTTTGTTGAGCTCCTTGCTGTCAGTGTCATTGAGAGTCTCACTCATGCTCAGGTCAGACTCAGTGTTGTCCGAGCACTTGGATATCTCACTGCCATCCCGAGAGCAGGAGCGTCCCCTCTTTAACTTCTTGCAGTCCTCTGGAGTGTCTGCTGTATCTGAAGCCTTAGAATCTGAATGCAGTCTACGCCTTTTCTTCTGTTCCTTGATAACAACTTCACTTAGTAAGTTGTTCTTGACTTTCCTTGGTTTCCCACTGCGAAGGTTCTTACCTTCAAACAGTGAAGGACTATTGCTTCTTTCAGAGCGCATTGAATAAGGGCTGGTGCGCGGCCCCAGCACCAGGCTGCTTGGAGTGTCAATAAGCATTGTCTTCATCATGGCCATGTCGGAGCTGAGCCTCTGTCTCCTGCCAGCTGTCTTGGGGCTCGAGGACCTTGAGTTCGGAGTTGTATCTTCAATCGGCTCCTTTTTGATTTCAGAGGCAGGTATCAAAGGGACGGTTTCTTTGTCTTGTGTTTCCTCTGGATTAATTTTTATAGCAGCCTTTCTTCCTCTTTTAGCAGTTTGCTTTATAACAGACTTTACTTTTTCCTTGACAATAATAGCTTTTTTGCTTCTTAGAGTTTTTCTGATGCCTAAAGGTCTCTTCTTGACAACGGCTTTAGGTTTAACTATGGGTTTCTTAGTTTCTTTGGATGTCTTAGGCTCCTCTGGCGAGGATTTCTTGTCATCATCATTTATATCTGAAGCTTTCTTGCGGGCACGAGTCTTGGGTTCTATCACGGTGTCCTCATCGATACTCTTGTCAGTTTCTTCTTTAGCTTGTTTGGTTTTCATGTTGGAATGTGTGGTGGGAGATGTCCCCGTTTTTCCGACATCAGGTAAAAGCTGGCTGTCAGCTTTGCTCTTGTTAGTCGATCTGAGATTGATCGACAAGTTGGCCCGACTGTTGGCTGTTTGATTCTGCTTGCTGGCCTCTGAATGCTGGCTCTCACTGTCTGTATCTTGTAGATTGCTATCAGTTAAGATCTCCTCAGGGCTAGTATCACAACCACTGTCGTCCTTATTCAAATAACAACTAGTTTTCACTGTCAATGATTCCTCAATCTTTGAGTTGGGATGACTTTGAGCCATAATACATCTTGACGCTGTGCCATCTGGACCTGGAAAGCGACAAACATTCGTTAAGTACCCTTACCGCCCTATAATTAGCAACGTGGTATTAAAATTCACTTGTTGAACACTGTACTAAGTTACTCCTCAACTTAAGATAAATACCACAGGATTATTTAAGAAATTACTGCTTTTATGACTAAATATATGTACTGAGTACTTAATTATAGTATATTTTAGCACAATTCACATATAAATCGTGTCTACACACCGTGGTAAACAAAAGCCAACGCGCGCTAATCAACAAGTTCGCGCAATAATACCGCATTTATTTCACTGATTGTTGGCTAATTTACTATTTATTTGGGAACTAGAAACTATAGTCAACTTAAATCTGAATCAAAATAACTTTTCAAACGTATCATAACATATTAAATCGCGCCGGAAAATTCATGAAAAACTCGATGTTTTGGTGGCGAGGCCGCGGGTGACACCTAACGCCACCTACAGCTGAGCGAGTGCGTATGCGTCGAGCGAACGAAAGCACCAAATCATTTCCCCAGCCGTGGCGCACCTCTGCAATGTCCACACAAAATACTCACAATTTATTCAATGAAACCTCCAAAAACCACAATAAACAGTTAATTAGATACACAATGCACCATAATATGCGAAAAAGTTCAATATAAACTCGCGATTAAACTTAGAAAACGATTTTTGAAAAGCCCAAATGACTGCAGGCGTCCGCCATAATGTTTCCTTCGAAACGAATAATATAGTTCTTATTGCTCTTGTAGCAATTCTCTATTCGCTATTCAAAATGGCGACCGTGTGGCGATCACAGTGCGCGTTTGCGCGACTTTTTGCTGGAAAAACTGGACAAATCTTGAACAACGCGACTGATTTGGGTACAAAACTTGGTCCGGGATCACAATCGGTAATTATTTAATTATATTTTCACTCGCGTCGAGTCGTAATGTCGCTTTGACCGCGACATGTGACAGAACTATGGACGTACACCCCTCCACGCAAGTTTCTCGCGGCTTCATATTTTTTTGACATTAATTTATTTTCAGAATGAGTTTGATTAATGTTGCGTAATGGACTGTTATGTTATTTTCACAACTTTTTTAACGTTGTTATGTTATTGTATTAATGATAAACGGTTATAAAATATTTTTTTTTATATTTCACGTTTTTAGGATTTTGGTTGCAGGGATGAGAATGGGTTATTAAAATATGAACTTAACATTTTTTTCTTTTGTTTTAGGTAATTTCAAGAAATTACTCTACATATGGTACCTCACCTTACATAAATAAAATAAAAGAGCAGTATGACTATGAAATTGTGAAGAATCCGCCGGAGTGGGCCTATGTACAGAGGTTGTTACCATTCGACACTATTCCCCAAGTAACACCTAAGGAGAGCTATCCATCTGGTTGGGTCCCACCAAAAGAAGAGGCAAAGAGTCTTCCTTATTTCCTTGCAAGAACGAAAAATCATGAACTGCCAATTTATTTGAACATAACGTACAGAGGTATTCGGCAAATAACAAAAATAAAACGCATTGAAGGTGACATCTGGCTCTTAAACGATGAAATTAAACAATACTTAAAAGAAAAGAACAAAAGATACGTAGAAACTCGTGTTCACGAAGTAGGTAGATTTATAGAAACTAAAGGTGATTATGTTAATGATTTAGTTCAATGGGCTCATTCCAAAGGTTTTTAAATGTGTAATGTTTTCAAGTAGTTGAAATAAATGATTTAGTGCATATTATGTTTGTCTTATTTACCCTTTTATATGAAGTTGACTGAGATCACAAATCTTTATAAAAGTCATAGTTTAACACAAAGTAACCTAGAACCTAGGTTTTTGGAATTGTTGGGAATTTTGGGATTGGGGAGCCACACTTACACGACGAAACACAACGTAAGCGTTGTTTTACGTTGGTTTTCTTTGAGGCCGTGGTATCACACCGGTCGGGCACGGCCCATTCGTGCCGAAACATGGTTCACCCACACTTCATAAATATTTTTATGGCCCCAAAGGGCCGTCAACGCAATTGTAACTTCAATGACAGTGCCGATTGCTTACCACCAGGTGATTCGTCTGCTAGTTTGCCGGCCACCCCATAGAGAAAAAATACTCAATAATGAGGATTTCAGTCAAACTGTCTTGTGATTGTGTAAAATTAATTATGAGCAGATATGTTTAATTTGGTAATTTGTCAGAATATACTAAATTTATATTAGTGACGTCTGCTAGTGATATTCGTCCGCATGTCATACCTATGTTTAATTTTTCAATGAAATAGGACATTTCAATCTCAAATAACTTACTTAAAATTTCGAATAACACATTTTGTACCTAGTATAAAACGTTTTCTTCAAAAACAGTCTTATTAGAACATTTCAAAATTGTCTAACAAAATAAATAAAATTGTAATACACAACAGGCGAAACTCGTTCAAACCTTGCTGGGAGGGTTGTACACGGCATGAAGTTTAGTTATACGCCGCTAGGGGCGCTGCGCACGGCGGAAGGTTTTATCTACGTAGCTATATAACATCCGCCCGACACCGATGGGCCTCTCCACGGTACATATTTTCGATACCAACTCACTCTTCTTTGTTAAAAACAACTTTTCTACACGATATATGCATTCATAATCAGTATAGTTCGCTTTTTGCGATATAAAAACTCTACATAAACGCTATAAGTTTTAGGTTACTTTTATTGCAATTAACTTTGTTATTGAACAGTAATTCGTGAATAAATTCACATAATTGACTCTGTCGTCGTTAAGAACTTTATTTGAGTCGATATTTCATAACATAAGAGCTAATCGGGGATCGATATTGAACATTTACGGTTTTATTATGTAAGATGATAGGTACAATGTATGTTACATAGTTATAATGATTTTCAAGGCCAAGCGCTTTCAGAGTGACACGTGTACAATCTAGGTATTACGATTGCACAACATTCTTACAATATGGGCTCGGGGGTGGAATTTAATGAGCATCACTTTAACTGAATAGTGTTTATGTAAGTTTTGATGAAGAATCGGTATGAGTGACGAGAATTTTGACTCTGAACAAACTTTGTTCGTGAGATTTATTAATTCGTGTTTAGTATTTTTATTTTAACATTTGTGTAAGGTTTAAAAAGTATCTACCTTAAAACGTTTTTTTTTCTTACCTATCGAATTAGTATTACTGCATTTTGGGACCTATTTCTCAATATTGTTTGTTAGGCATTTTTTTTGCCATAGTTAGTGTTTCAGATCCTCATTGTGCGTTCTTAAGGGCTTCTTCATATTACAAATACAGGACTTGATACATTTCTATTGAATAAATGACTTGCTTAAATACTTTTTGTTAAATACTCTAACGTACATCGTAGCTATGAATAGATTCCCTGTCTATGAACAGTTTCGTTATAAACGTAACTAAATATTAATTAAAAAAGTAATATTTACGGAGTTACATTCACAAAGGGATTTGTACAGTCATTAATTGGGAATGCGAGTAGCACTGAGTAAACTAATTACTTATCGATATTGGACCGGTTAATTAATAACTGGTGATTACCGAACACAATGGGGCATCGTGCAGGATAGCTAGAGAAACATAGCTACCTAAATATCTATACTGTTAGGTATAATTGCCTGCCTAGTCTGTAGTTTCTATGCATTTTGTTTAAAGATGGTTAGCTTGTGCTAGCATCGCTATAATCCCGATTTTATATTCTATCGCTAAGCTAAATTTCATGCAGATTTGTTCAATAGGTTTTACATGAAAGGGTAACAAACGTAAGTAGGTTTTATTACTTCCATATTAGTTCTACATCAATGGAAAGTGCTATTTTTTAAGGGGGGAAAATCATCGAATGACTGCTCCCGCCTGGGTGAGGCGGAAGGGAGTGTCAGACTCTTACTGACTAAAACCACCCCGTTCCTTCTCCTGCACGTCGAGCCGGAGCCCGGTTACCCGTTAGGTTCTCCGCGACTTAAATATAGGTGCTTAAGAATTCTAGAATCTAGATCAGTGCGTAGTTTTTTTATCTAAAGGTTTCGATTTACTTTCGAGTCTCCAACCAAAGGGTGTTATAATATAATTAATTGCCTGGACATCTATATAATGTTTATCCTAATACGATAGACATATGTAATAGATTGTATTCCAATTTTATTTGTTGTACTACGAAAATACATGTAAATTATAGGTGTGGATCTATAATGATCGCAGGTTAAATTTATTTTTTATTGAAATATAATGTAGGTACAGTGATTAGGTACCTAAGCATAGTGTTCTTGGACTTTCTATAAATGAAACAACCACCAGATACCAATTTCACCTCTTTTGCGCATGACCACTTATGTTTCGCAATGTCTGAAATATGTATTTATTTTTTTCTTGAATGGCAACCGGGTGTTCAATAGAATACGTAACAATTCAATCTAACGCATAATAGGGTAAATGCCTAATTTTTATTTTAATTTCCGTCTGGGCTTCTGGTAGATTATTTTGAATCATTAGACACGTATTTTTTATTTTCTTACAGAAACGAATGCCTTCGACGATATATTGATTTAAAATGTCGCGTGACGTCACTTCTATGTACATTTTATACGTAGAAATGACGTTTTAGCCCCCACTCCTAAACTTTGATTCATTTTATCTAAGAATTGTTTTATTATACGACAAAATAAAAAAAAATATGTGTCTAATATTTTTTCATTTTTACTGACTAATTATATTTTTAATTTTCATACCAATTTTAGGCATTTTAGACAAAAAAAGGTTAAGTACCTATATCTTAATGAACAGAAACTTTAATAAATATTTTAGAACAAACAAAAATATCAATTTCTTACGTTAGGTAGGTATGTCTTGTCCTGAGTGAATTGTCTTAGAATTCAATTTAAACTGGTTGTAGCTGTATTTATCGCAATTGTACTTGGAGCTGTAGGTATCGTAGATTGGAGGTGATACCACAATAAAAATTAAAAAATAAATAAGTCGGTTATTTATTTTAATAATATCTAGCTGATAATTAAAAAGCTATAGATAGATAGATAGATATAGGCTGATATAGAGGATTTTTTGGTGGTAGGTTAGCCCTCGTCAAAAAAAAAAACACTGGTTCAAAGATAGGAGATTACGTTTAAAAGATTAATTATAGGGATCCGGAAATATGACAGTATTGCTAACATAAATAAATAAATAGATTTGTAATATTATTCAATAAAATTATTTATTTGACATCAAACAAACACATTTACGAAGAAAAAGAAAGGAGACCTCGCGATTAAAATATAGATCAGTAAATCCCTAAATTTGTTATATGCATAAGCATAAATCACGTAGCTAATTTAAAAAATCTAGGTATAGAACAAGGGTGTTAAAGAGCGTATTCCTTTTTAAAAGGCCGGCAACGCACCTGTGACTCCTCTGGTGTTGCGGGTGTCCATTGGCGGCGCTAATCGCTTACCATCAGGTGATCCGTCTGCTCGTTTCCTCCTACTCCATAAAACAAAATATTTTTTAAATAAGGACACATTGATATTGCATTGTATTTATACCAATGCCATGGGTATTAACCCATTATTAGCTTAATGGTAGGTACCTACTACCTACCTATATCATCATTAGTCCATTTACTTACATAGTTACATCCATTTTTAGACATAGCAATTTTTTATAATATTTAACAGGGCATTGAGCTCGATCTCTAGGTCTTTGTATGCAACTTCTGCTAGCATCCTCTGTCTCCCCAACAATCCTCAAACTCCTAAGCCCCAAAAGGCCGGTAACGCACTTGTAACGCCTCTGGTGTTCCGGGTGTCTATAGGCGACGCCGATTGCTTACCATCAGGTGATCCGTCTGCTCGTGTACCAGCTTATCTAATAAAAATCCTGTAATATCGACATTCCATCTAGCTGAACAACATTCTAGGTACGCTACGTTTATCTAGATAAGACTTGGACAAGTCTAGACCTGGTCTCTGTTGCAGAATATCTGATAAATGGCTAGATATTATGTAGGAATCTAGTTAATCAGGTAGGTATCACGAATACAAACTGAATTTGACAAAATCAACCCTTAGAAACGAGCAACGTAAGTCATAATAGTGAGAGAACCATATAAAGCCTAAGTTATGCTATTTTTTAAATGCATAATAAAGATGGACACTGCCTACTACCAATTGTAATTATTTATATCCAACGGGTATTTTCAAACATAAAAGTTTAATTTAAGTATTTAAAATAAAATTATTTCATTATCTAAAATAACGTGATCAATAATAATAGCTATGAACCAAACTATTCCCACAACACAAAATATAGCGCTGAAAAAAGTGAAACTACTTCTGAAACAAGTTAAAAACAATTTACTTAGACGTGTTTTGGCACTAAAACCAAAAGGATGAAAAGGCCAGAGACCAAGCAAGTAAACTTATAATATTACAGAAAAAGTAAAAACATGGCTCAAAAGTACCAACACTAACTAAAACTATTATTACAATTACAATACAAATGAAAGGGATCACTTCAGGTACCGAAGCGCGAAGCGTACAGGCCGCCATTTTGGGATATAAGCAAAAAAAAAAACAATAAACAAAGGAATTATTTTTAAAATGGGGTGCGTCACTAGCCAGCCTGTCTTTAGTTCCGGGTGGCTACGTTAAAGTATACAGTTATAATTTATTTTTAATGGATGATTACTAGCCATTGCAGGATTTCTTA